AAGACAAAGAAAAGACAAGGCAAGAGACAGCAAGCGACTAGAAGGGAACACTTGAGATTGAGACTTGAGCCTTTTTTTTTTTGAAAGAAAAGCTCAAAGAAAAAAAAAGAGAGAAGATATCAGCTTGCTGACCACGATGACATGACATGACATGACAAGAGATTGGTTTGTTCTCGGCGTCATGCATGCCTGCATTCATAGATCCATATCCATATCCTATCCATACCCGTACGTCTGTCTCGTCTCGTCAAATTTAAGAAATAATGCACTGACGTCACGTAACAGCTCTGCGAGAAATTCAGGTACGGAGTAGGGAGGATTGGTAGTTATTGGTTGTTGATGATGACATTTGGGGCCCCGCAATCGATATTGTTTGTTTGTTCCAACGTGCCTGCAGATAGATCGAGATTGCAATGCGGGGTTGATGTGATGATCGCAGCGTCGCTTGGCAAAGAACTTGAAGAACAAATTTCTGATATCCTGTCTAAGCTGAATGGAAACGGATTGCCCTCTGTCCGACTCTTTACCACCCCACCTTGTTCAGATCAACGCCAATGATCGTCTTGCCAGCAGGCTGGTCGACCTTTCCGGCCTCGAACTTGGGCGTGCCGTCTTCGTGGTACCCAACCGCCTGGACGAAGCCGCCGCTGACTTCGTCGAGGGTCTGCGCATATTTCTCGCTTCGGAGGCCCGGGCATCGCGTGCTGGTTTCGCAGTGGGCGACCAGGGCGGCGTTGCTCTTGAACTTGCGGCGACAGCAAGGGCATCTACATACGTCGCAATCCGTTAGTAAAGATTCTATCTAGTCTTGCTTCACCTCTGAGAGGGCAGGGGGAAAGGGCGCTTCTTACGAGAAATTTCTCCCCATGTGCAGGATCAGATGTTCCGCAAGACCTTTGACGTCTTCAAACTCCCCGCCGCAGCAATCGTACTTGCCAGTGTACGGGTTGAGGTGCTTGTTCGGGTCCCAGTTGGGGTCGTACGCCCGGTAGAACTGGACGGCTTCCTGACCGAAGAAACGTCCTGGTACGGGAGGCTGCACTTCAGAGTAGTGGCCGCTGGCAAGGTTCATTTCGTTGATCTGTGCAGACAACTGATTCTCTGTTTCAATCGCCGTTTTGGTCTTGGTTTGAACGGACAGCTGGCTAAAAGCCACCAGGTCGCTCGGTTCATACTCTGACTCCTGTTCGGACTTGTCTGGCACATTCTTCTCACCCAGTCTCGGCCAATGCTTCAAGGACAGCGTGGTTGACGTAGTCGATTTGACGTCGTCATCCTTGCGCGAGGGCTGGTTCAGCATGGCCCCCCTGCTCTGGAGTTCCTTCTGGCTGATGCGGATTCCGCTTCTGTCATCCCCAATGGTCGGAGGCGTCGGAAATCCAGTTTGCTTCTTGAGCGCGCTCGAGATCATGGTCTTCATGGCGCGCTGGTGGACGAGACGCTCCTCATCGATGCCCTTACATTCCTTCTTCTCGATGTGCGACACGAATGCAGCTGCACGGGTGAAAATCCTTCCGCAATCCTTCCCGGGACATTTGATCCTTTGCTCAGTCGGATGGTTCTGTAAGTTGTGAGCCTCATGCGGACCTAGCTCAACTGCACACGAATAGTGAGTGTTCATGATGGCAACATACCTGACGGATATGGAGATCGCGGCCTCCCTCGCTGCGGAATTCACCACCACAGAGCGGACACACAATGTGCTTCGTGCTCTTGATCTTGTGGATGAGCAAGCACTCCTCGTTCTCGAAGTCTTCGTCGCATCGAGAGCAGTAGTCATGCTGAGAGGCCTTGTGCCGCTTCATCTCCTTCTCTGAGTCGAAGTAGAAGCGGCAGTCCTCGTATGTGCACGGCACACGGTCACGGCCAGCTGGTTCTGCCATGTTGATAGCCGTGACCAAGCACGTGTCTTAATGGATCTGTCAGCAGAAGCAAGTGAGAGGGGAAGTGGTGATCAATGAAAGAGAGATGAAGAGGAATGAGGAGCAACAGGATGGTGAGACAGGTCAGTATATTGTAGATTTCTGATGAGGGAATGCAGGAATGAGAGAGGTGTGAAGAGCAACAAGAGTGATTAAGTATCTGAAGATACGCAGAGGCAAGGCAAAGTATGCAAACGACACAAATATGGTTGCGTCTTTATTTACCTAGGCAGGTTATTCCCTGGCTGCAGTCGGCAAAACACACATAATCGTCTGGGAGATGCTGTCTGGAGGTCACGGGCAAATTTTGTTGTTTTGAGTATCTCGCCGGAGCAACCCTCTTACCTATCAGGTAGGTAGGTAGGTAGGTGCCTTTTGATGCCTCCCAGGGACAGATTATTAGTCGACAACAAAGACTTAACCTGAGTGAGGCTAGTCCAATGTCTAGATATCGAACAAGATGGCCACATGCTTGTAATTGTCATATCAAATTCTATTTCATTTCAGCTTTCTTCACTCCTACTATACAGACGAACTGGCCTCGTCGTTCAGAGGTCAGCATTTCCTATTCACAATCAACAGTGAAGACCACCAGATCATGTCATCCACAGCTCTCATGATGCTGCTCTGTCCATTCCAATCTGCAATGGAGTCAACTAGAACCTGGAGTAGGGCAGCCTGGGATGAAGGTCAGCAACTATCCCAGTCTCCGAAAAGAAATATACCCATGAATCCAATGCTTACCATTTCCCCCGCAGGGTGATAACCGCCCAGTCATTCCCGTCCTTGTCGGTCTCCTTCTCAACCTTAGTCGAGAACGAAATGGCGCTCATAATCCCGTCCCCAAACTTCTCGTTGAGAACAGCCTTGTACGCGTACCCGTAGTTCTGCACAATCTCATACAGCCGGTAGATCAGCGGCTCCTTGGGAGGCATCTCCACCGAGCGGCCCCGATCGGGAAACCCGCTGAGCTGCTGCTCCAACTGCTCAACGGGGATGTCAAGGAGGCTGGCCAGTTTCTGGATGTCCTCCGGGGAAGCCTTTGCCTGGCCGTAGAAGATGGCCGCCGTGGCAACCTCATTGCGGCCGATGTGCTTGGAGATGTCCTCGAAGCTGAGCTTCTTTTTCGCTTTGGCGTTGAACAGCGTCTGCGAGGCTGCTGGAAGGTATGGGTGTTGGGTCGCCTATATCGGAAGCTCACAATTAGATCGCATGCCTCAGTCGAAGAATGAATAGAGACCCACGTCAAGGGTTGCGAGGGAAGACATGATGATCGGATTTCTGATACGCTACGGTGTGACAATGAGATAGATAGCTTTCCGGGAGATACCGTAGGGCAACCTCGTAACTAAGGATCGGGGCGGAATACAGTACGAAGCTATCTACATCTGTGACGATGTCATTCTTATATAATTTCTGCTCTCTCCTTCTCCAATTTCTGGTTCCACTCGTCGAGGGGCAGATCCCACTCCCAAGGCTCTGTCTGCGGACATGGTTCTTGGTACCGCGCGGGGTTTTCCCAGAAGCCTGCCAGAGGCCTGCGGGGTGATAGTGACGATTCCCCTCTGGCCTGTCTTTGGCATCATGTCCCCTCACGACGCACCGATAAGATCCGGCAAGCAGACAGGTACGGCGGAAGGGTCGGGCCGAAGAGACAGTATAGACACCTGAGGTATTAATATTTAACTGGAAGATATCACCATCTTAGCGTATGCCTAGTTGGGAAAACGTCCAGCTGCGCCACTGCTCTTGGTATTAATATTCTGTCCACGGAGACATGTGTGTAATTTAATACATACATCGTGCATAGCCCAGCACGTGGACGCGCGTATCATGGAACCCCGCTCGCGTGCACAGCCACAGTCTACAGACCGTCGTCATCAGGCATCCCCTCTGACAGGGCCAGGATTGGTGAACGAAATGACAATAGGCAATCCTCCAGCTTGTGAATAATGGCGGATGCGTCAGACTTCGAGACGGCGGGCGCAACAGCGTGTCCAAGACCGGCGCAGATTGGGTGCAGCTGAGACACCAAGAAGCGGGGCAGTCCCCCGGCAATAATAATAATGCCAACAAACATACTTAAGAACACCAGGCCAGTAATTTTCTGCTATCGTTTGATTCTAGGAGAAGCAGAAAGACCGTTGGTCGCTGCGAACCTCCTGACCAGGAAGCTCAATCGATCAGCTGATCTTGTTGCCTCTGTATTTCTGTGCTGAGCACCGAAGCTTCGGGTTTCTCCCCGCAGTGTGCTGTCGAGCTCGTCTTGTATTGTCGCACAAACTTCTAACCTGCCCTGAAGCATGACTGAAAGAGTGGATCCGTTGGCCTATGGCCATTATTATGAAGAGGGTGAACGGGGTATTGTGGGAGACAGTGCTCGAGGCTTTATCAAAGACACCTTCAAGATACTGAAGGACAATTTCCACAGCCACCAGGGCCAGCAATCAGGCCAGCAACCATACGAAAGTGGCAGCTATTCGGTAAGAGCAGACTCCCTTAAACAAAAGATCTCAAATAACTGACGGGAGACGTTTCTTGTCCCAGGCTCCTTCGCAACAGCAGTCTTATGGTAGCCAAACGCAGCCTCCGAATCCGCCGTACCAAGAACCCCAATATCAAGAAAAGCCCCCCAAAAAGGACAAGCTGTCCGGTCTCCTAGGCAAGATCGAAGGAGCGGTCGCAGACATTGGTTCAGAAGTTGTTCACCGTATTTCCGATGCCCTCGACCCCGATGCCCATTCTCAGCAAGCCGCAGCCAGGCCGAACAGCCAGAATCGCTTTGGGAGCTTTGCACCACAGAGGGGGAACAACGATGTGAAATGGTACGTGGATGGATTCAATTACATGTACGCGGTTTCCATAGCGCTGGAGAACGCTCGAGAGTCGATCTGGATCTTGGACTGTGAGTATTCCTATATTGTTGACCGCTGATCTGGTTGCTGACCACGCTCCCAAAGGGTGGCTCTCGCCAGAGCTCTATCTCCGGCGACCACCGGCCAAGAACGAACAATACCGTCTTGATCGCATGCTTCACGCTGCCGCTCAGCGGGGGGTGAAGGTCAATATCATTGTCTACAAAGAGGTGACTCAGGCACTGACATGTAAGTTTGTAGCCCCTGCTATCCAGGGCTGTTGCAAGAACGGGACTTTTGCTGATACTGGCCAGTGTCGTCGTCGCATACCAAACATCACCTAGAGAATCTCCATCCCAATATTGCAGTGTTCCGCCATCCAGACCATTTGCCTGATACCGAAGAACTGAAGGCCTCGATCACGGATTCCTTGCAAAACCTGACCCTGGATGCGGCCCACATTTCCACACTCTCTAGTGACGCCCTCAAGGGATTATACGGTATGAGCGATGAGACGATACTGTACTGGGCGCATCACGAGAAGTTGTGCGTGGTCGATGGCAAAATCGCCTTCATGGGAGGTCTGGATCTTTGCTATGGACGCTGGGACACCAACCAGCATGCGATCGCTGACGTGCATCCGGGCGACCTCAATGAGATTGTGTTCCCAGGACAGGACTACAATAACGCTCGGGTGCTCGACTTCCAGGATGTCGTCCACTGGGAAAGGAATCAGCTGGACCGCAAAGTCACCTCCCGCATGGGGTGGTCTGACATCTCCATCTGCCTACGCGGTCCTGTGGTGGAGGATTTGCGCAGGCACTTTGTGGAACGCTGGAATTTCATCTACGACACGAAGTATTACTCGCGAAACGACCCCCGTTACTCTAGACTGGCCCTCCACGGGCGTCCAAGTTCTTCCGCCGGCCAGATCCCTGGTAACGCTCCGCCCGGTTCCGAGCAGCACAAGCCCTCCCACCCCCAGCAGGCCCCTTACTACCCCCCGCCACCCGGAGCTCAAGGCCAACAAGCGTCGTCTGGCTCCCAGGGACAGTATGGTTATGGAAGCGGGCAGCAATTCCCTCCACCACCTCCAGGGCCTCCGCCGCAGACGAGTTCCGGCGGCTATCAGGCATATCATCCAGAGCAATATGGTTCGACACACTCGCAGCAGACCCAAGTTCCGTATTTCCCGCCTCCACCGACTCAGGAGTCTCACCACTCGCTGACGCGGGAGCTCTACGGGCATGATGGTGCTTACGAAGAGGGTGATGGTGAACGAGGGCTAAGACCGGAGACTCAGCGTCTGAGGGAGGATATCTCCGGACTTGGCCATACCCTTCGCAGTCATGTGCATCATTATCAAGACCGCTATCTTGGTGGTCATGGCCGTCACTCTCAACCAGTCGGAAATACGTGGTGCCAGATCGTGCGGAGCTGCTCCAAGTGGAGTCATGGAGTCCCAACTGAACATTCTATTGCGGACGCCTATGCAGCTGCCATCCGGGACAGTCAGCACTTTGTCTACATCGAGAACCAGTTCTTCATCACGGCAACATCCGACGAGCAGAAGCCTGTGAAGAACAAGATTGGTGCTGCGATCGTCGAACGGATCCTGCGCGCTGCTCGAGCCGGCCAGAAGTATAAGATCATAGTCGTGATTCCCTCGGTTCCAGCCTTTGCCGGTGACCTGAGAGACGACTCTACGCTAGGCACTCGGGCAATCATGGAGTTCCAGTACAAATCCATCAACCGAGGCGGCCACAGTATAATGGAGCAGATTGCAAAGGAAGGGTACAACCCGATGGACTACATCAGGTTCTATAACCTGCGCAATTATGACCGGATCAATGTGAACAGGGCGATGCTGCAAGCTGAAAAGGCCAGCGGCGTCGATTACGAGGACGCTCGCAAGTATCACGACGTTGCTGAGGTCGGGTACGGTGGCTACGGGCCGGGTGCTCCAAAGCCGGCATTCGACACGACCGCTCCATTCCAGCAATACCAGCAGGCCGCGCAACGTTCCTCGACGAGCGGTCGGTGGGACAGCGTCAGTGAGTGCTACATGCTCGGAGGAGAAGATATTCGCAATGTTCCCTGGGACAGCGATATTCCTGAAATTGACGCGTTTGTTAGCGAAGAGCTTTACGTCCACTCCAAGGTAGGCAGTGAAGGCAGTAATTTCGACTGTGTTCTCGAAATTAATTCACTGACGAAACGTTTGTAGGTGCTCATCGCGGACGACCGGCTTGTTATCTGTGGATCCGCCAATCTGAACGACCGGTCGCAGCTAGGGTATCATGACTCGGAGATTGCAGTCATCATTGAGGATCCCACCCCCGTTGAATCCGTGATGGATGGCAAACCGTGGACGGCAAGTCGATTTGCCGTGTCGCTCCGTCGGCAGTTGTTCCGCAAGCACCTGGGTCTTCTGGAGCCGCAAGACTACCAGCGACGAACCGCCAACTGCGAGCCGGTTGGGGTCCCGAACGAGTACGACTTGAACTGTCCGGAAAGTCAGGTGGTGGCCGACCCGCTGTCAGACACATTCCAGAGTCTCTGGAACACGCGGGCGCGGACCAACACCGAAGTCTTCCGCAAGGTCTTCCACGCGGTGCCGGACGACAACGTGCGGAACTGGGAAGCCTACAAGGAATTCTACGAGTACTACTTCCACAAGGCGGACAAGGAGGCCGAGGGTAAAGGAAGCGACGGGGCCAAACCGAGGTACGAGTGGGGTCATGTGGTTCGCGACGAGTTCTCGCCTGGACCGGAGGGGGTGCGGGAGGTGAAGGAGCTGCTCAGCAAGGTCAAGGGGACGCTGGTGGAGATGCCTCTGATGTTCCTGATCGAGGAGGATATTGCCAAGACGGGATTGACCTTGAACAGCTTGACGGAAGAGATTTACACTTGACGTATATACGAAGGTTGTCAGAGTAGTGAATAATTGCAATGAATTTCCTCTGTATGTACTGTACATGCTCTGCGTGCGACAGTAGTGATACACATGCCCTTCCGAAGTAATTAATGCACGTGCGTTTTCTAGAGCCGAAAGTCGAGTGCCTGCAGTTAGCTAACGAGAGTAGGTAAATATTCGATTATTACCTAATTCAGTAACCCTAGTTACCAGCAAAGACAAAACAGAAACAAAGACAATAATGCGATTCGAAGTCGAGAACAATCATCTAACTGCGACAAAAAATAATGATCAATTCTGTCATCACTAACCTTTCTTTCCTGGCTTACATAACATAACCCAACCTCCTTCACATCAGGCCAAGTCTCTACACCATCCCAAACTTTTAAGCTAAAGAACAATACCAACCGCGAAGAAAAGAACAATATGAAGCCAGCCAACAAGCCAACCAACCAACCAACCAACCACTTCTATTCATCTTCAACTTGAAAGAAAAAGGGAAAAAAAATTACAAGTGAATTAGTCTCTTCATCGCAGTCACTCACTCTACACAATGTAATCCAATTTCCAAGGAGATGAAAACGGAAAGCTTTTACTGGATGGAAGAAAGGTTCGATAGACATCCGCAACCGGTATTATGTATGATATTATGATATTAATATTGTTCCACTCCACTCCATCCATTGTTATCGAAGCACAACAATCTTTGGAAAGAAACAAGTTTCAACGAATGGGTAAGCTATTATGATATCTTTCACTGTCTTTCCTCTCTTAATTAAGACTTCGACTTCGACATTCCCTGCAAAGAAAAGAGATGGGAATCGGATGATATATAATAAATAGATAAATCTCGTGTCGAGAATCTTTTTTTCTCTTTCTCTCTCTTTCATCCTTTTTCTCTTGCATGTACGGTACAGTACTTCTTTTTCTTCCAGACGAGAACGAAACGAACACAAGCACAAGAACAAGCATCGTCCTCTCTGCTGTCAGCCAACTCTTCTGCTCTCTCCTCTGTGTGTCTCTCTCTGTCCATCTTCGAAGGACAAAGCAGTAAAACAAAATCATACAAGGAAAAAGAAAAAGGTACGAAACGAACCCAAACAATGAGATCTTTCTCAATTCCATCAGAATTGTATGTATCTACGGAGTATAGTACTGACAAATCCTTTCTCTCTCTCTGAGCAGGAGCAGACGAAATTGAAATCCACCCTCTCCTCTCATCATCTCATTCTCAATACCCTGTTCAAGGAAAGAAAACGAGGGAAAATGGATCCTCCCAGTGAGATCGATTTCGATTTCGATTCCATTGCCATTGCTTCGATAAAAAGTAAGTAGTACCTAGTCCCTAACCCTGACCAATCTTCTATTTTTTTCCCTTCTTTATCGGGACGGTGTTCGAATCCATTCATCTACGCTAAGATAGATTGAGCTGAGCTAACCTGTAGTGTTGTTGTTGTTGTTGTCAGTCCATGCCGGTTATGGATGTATCATCATGTGAGAAGGCGTTTCACAGATTGTTACCCTGGGTAATAGTGGCTACAATTACTCCGAGTTCTTTCTTTCTCTCCTTCTTTCTTGGGTGTGCTGGCTGGCTGTTTTCGACGAACGACGACAGCGATGGATTGACTCTGAGTTGTGTGCGCGAGAATCAGGACCAGGTCGAGGGCGGGCCAACGATTTGTTCTTGTTTTTTTTTCGAAACTTTGGATATTTCTTTGTTTTTTTTTTTCTCACACTTTTCTTTCTTGTACAGCACGATTCTTTTTTTTTTTCCAATTGTTGTTTTTTTTTTTGCTTTTGTTGATTCGTTCGTCACAGACATTCCATTCGATATCTAATTGAGCTTTCTTTTTTTTTACTTGTCATATTGTACAGTACAACATATGTATCCTACCACAGACAATGTGCATGATACGATATTGCCTTGCATCGCGTCTGGAACCTAGGCATTCCACTCGTTTATTCATTCGTTCATTACCTTCTTTCCTACATGTGTACAGTACATGTGTATAATATCTCATATCTAATATCTTGTACTACACTATCTACTACAAGCTGCACTACTCTAGACCGGTGGACCTGGAATGAAGGCAGGCAGCAGGCTATCATTTGACTATGACTTGACTTTCTACATATGATAACGACAAGGAAGCATCGATGATTGATGTCAGGTTTTGACTGTTGGTTTGTATCAGATACGATGATATAATGATGTATAGGATGCTATGGTAATTGAATATATGTACCGTACATGCATTGTTCATGGTTGATTGAATTGGAACGAAACGAAATGAAATGAAATCACACGACTATGTACTGTATGTACACACTGCTGTGACTTGTCAAAGTTTGTTGTCAATCAGATACTACCTACCTACCTACCTACCTACATAATAAATACAATTCAGCATGGATGGAAGAAAGGAAGAAAGTCAGTTTCCGGGAACTACAAAAAAAAGAATCTTCAAATCGGATATATATCTGTCATCATCATATCATTTATTTCTTAATGAATGACTGTTCGTCGGGAGTCCAGCTACCCGACTCTGAAGTGTGTAACACACCTGTCTACATCTCCTAGGCGATGGCGTAGTACATACATGTGTTGTATGTAAACAGCTGCAGGTCATCAATATTCCCGGGGTATATGTTTCTGCAGTCTCGTCCGTTCGCTCATGTCATTTCATTTCATTTCATTCAGTTCAGCTGATCAATCTTGTCACGCTTATTCGTCATCATCATCGTCAAATACGTCAGCTACACGCTCCTCAATCTGCTCGATGATGTGTTGCAGCAACCCCACCGATCGCGCCATGCCCACCTGGCACGCGTCTTCGCCTACAGCAGCCTCGATCTTCCCATCGCCGCCGTTCGCCGTCAGGTCTTCCTCGAACGCGTGGCAGACGGCCTTGAGCGGCGCCAGGAAGTTTGTCCGGAACGAACGGTAGGATTTCCTCAGCTGCAGACGGTCGCGCAGTTTGGAGGACGACAGGAGAATGTAGTACAGACTCAGGGCCGCGTGGATCGGCGAGGCGAGTATCTGCGAGAATCGTAGCCACGACACGACAATGTTGCCGCTGGACGACACGTCCAGAGCAGAAAGCTCCGCGGGATTAAACAGCAGTGGGAAAAGAGCTGAGAAGCAACGTGGGTCGACGAAAATGTTGGGCTCGGCATTCGCCGCTGTTGTCGCCAGGATTTCGTCTTTCTGCCATCCGATCGCGCTCTCCCTCGCATACAGCAGATTTTCGTCCTCCAAGACTTTGCGTATCAGGTTGAACCGGGCATTTGGCGACGGATGACTGCGAACAACTGTCGACGGGATCCTTCGCAGACTGTTGTAGCTCTGACGGGAACTGCAGGCTGTGAGGGCCAGCACAAAGTCTTCGTACTGCCGATCATTGACCGGCTCCTCTATTTTCTCGCGGATAGAGATCACCGTCAGGGCGAGAAGCGCGTCCTGGAGAGCCTGGGGCTGCTCCAAGCCTGCACCGTCTGACGTACTAGGAACGCCGATGAAGTTGGTAAATATCACCGCCAAGTCTGGGTATATTGGGATCCGTATGTTGTCTTGCTGCGAGAAGAGGACGGTCGCCGAAAAACGAGCCGCCAACAGCAGTAAACAGCCGTGTCTTTCCAACGGAATTCCCTCTGGTGATTTCGGTAGCTCTTCGAAATCTAAAGGAGGTGGCTGTTTCTTGGCGGGTGTGGACACAATCCGAAGCAATTCATCGTCACTTAGACCTAAATCTCGCGATAACGCCTTCACAACGGCAAATCAGCACTAGAAAAGTTGACAGTTACCATGCGTGGCATACCGTAATCTTTCCAACGATCATATCTCTTTCCTTCAGGTGCTCCGTCGCTGCATGAATGCGGGTCTTGGATGTCATCCGAGCTGCTTCAGGATCAAGCTTTTCCTGCAATCGCAATGCCCAGGACAGCCCCGAATCTGTAGGGTTCGTGAGACTCAACATGTAGGATTTCAATACTTCGACGAGGCCAAACTGGACCAGCTTCCGCACCAGCTCCTGGTCACCCGAAGACGTAGATTGAGTCTCCGCTTCCGGGTCCGGAGCAGATGCCTCCGACACCCGAACGACAGACGTCTGACTGGTTCCGCGAGGTGGTAAAGCCGGTCGTTTCGTCGGTGACAGGTCTCGAAGGAACTCTAAAAAGGCGGTGGTTGTCTCGTTTGTTGGCATCGAGGTATAAGCTTCCAGTGCAGCCTGGAGCGACGTGGCAATGAATCGGCTGGGATACTTGGTTTTGATGCGGGCATGAAGCACCGAAAGCATGGCGACGAGGCAGTTGAACTGGATCACATGGCGCGGAAGGGTTTTCTTGCTGTCTTGTGATTCTTCGCCGCTGCCAATATCAATATCCCTGACCTTTTCCTCCAATTCTTTCGTATCTTGCGATTTTGTGTGCTTTTCTGTCTCCTCCGTTTCTTCTTCCTCTTCCTCCTCGTCCTTCTCAGGTTGTAGCTTCATCAGCGCATCTGACACCCGCAAGATGACTTCTCGGGGATTCCCCAGCCGCGCAACGTCCTGGAGGCATTGCTGCGACTGAGGGAGCATCGGCAGAAGGAGCTGGACGAGGTCCCATCCGATGTTGGTGGTAAGGGTTTCATCTTGCAGCAATCGGTGGAGGGTCGGCAACCGCGCGGGGGTCAACTGGTACTCCAGCAGCGTCAGGTAGGTCAGGTAGTCAGTGGCCGGAGGAAGCGCCTTCACCAAGGGATCCTCTTCGTCCGCCATGGCCGGGTGTCTGTGATCCAGCTACTGCATATGCAAACAGTGGCAGCTTGGTGAATCTGCAGATGCCCCGCAATTGCGCATGACATCAGTGGCAGAATACGACCGCCCGGCAGCAGCACTCAGTGCAGCAGATTAATTACTGTACTGTACTCGCAATAGAGGGATTAAATTCTTGATGAATTTTCATTCTTTTGATCTGATAGCTACTCCTGTGTTGAAGAAAATTACAAGGGTTGATTTCAAGCACGAATACTGCAGTTGCTGCTGATACCAACCAGATTCATTGAGCTCAGGACAGAACTATGGTGTACATATCTGAGCACCATGTCGACGCAGGTTACCAGTGCTGTTGCAGCAATGTTCCATGATTCAATTGCTATTTACTCCAGTGAGAAGGATAGCAGGTCGATTATATGCCACCTTGTTGCGCTCACTTTGTGCTGTATGTACTGTGCATCACTTATCTACTCCCCCCATTCTTGGACACGCCCCCATTCTTGTTCTGCAGGGATCGGCTGCCCTTTCGTCCCCGCAAAGCAGATGGCCTCGTGTCCTTAAAAGAAATAGATAATAGACCAGTAATTATATCCTAGAAATGTGAATTTAAGATTGAACTCCAATTCTTTGCGCAGTAGAGCAGATGTGGCATTCCTGGACAAGATCTAGATATCTAGAATCCTGCAACGGCTAGGGACCATATAGACAGGCAATTGGCTCTAAAAGTGTCAAAAAATGCCAGAGAAGCTCCAGGTAGGCTCATCGTCCCTATTGTCGATCTTCTGTGTCAAGAAGACGTATCAACAATCTCTGCCCGTGTCTAGGTGATAATTGTTGGTGCTGGCTTGGGCGGCTTAGGCGCTGCCATCTCGATCCTCCTGGCCGGCCACAGCGTCACCGTCCTGGAGGCAGCCCATGAGCTAGGTGAGGTGGGATACTCTCCCCCCAAACAAAACCATGCCGCACGTCAATGGATGCTTATGCTCTTCATGTGTACATAGATTGGAGCTGGCATCCAAATCCTGCCCAATGCCTCACGCCTTCTCCGTCACTGGGGCCTCGAAGAGGTCTGCTCCAAGTATGCCTCAGCGCCCCGGAGGTGCAACATGATCAGTTGGAAAGGGGAGCACATCACCTTTCTGGACTTCATCGAGTCGGCGAAGCGATACGGATCCCCCTTCTGGGACTTCCATCGAGCAGATCTGCACAACTGTCTCTACAACCGGGCCGTGGAACTGGGTGCAAAGGTCTATACCAACAGCCGAGTTGTCGACGTCGAGTACCACGCCAGCCCTGCGCAGGCCACTGTTATCCTGGCTAACGGAAGTCGTTACACGGCGGACCTGGTGGTTGGGGCCGACGGCATTGCCAGTCGCACTCGCGAATGCTTTCTCAAGCGAGTTGATCCTCCCACGCCGACGGGCGATCTGGCTTATCGAGTGCTTCTTGACCTGCGAAAGATCCAGCTGGATGAAGATGTGCGGAAGATGCTGGAAAACACGGAAGTGAACTACTGGATGGGACCTGGCGCCCATGCTGTTTGCTATCTCTTGAGGAATCGCACATACTTGAACAGTAAGATTGCCACGAGAACCCCCTGTACCAACTAGCGATCCTCACATCTTCGCAGTGGTCCTTCTCGTACCGGATGACATACCGGATGGCGGGGCAAGAACAGTGGAAGGAAACGTCCTGGAAATGAGACAATTGTTTGCGGATTGGGATCCAAGGCGAGTCACCAGGGTCTTGCACTGATCGAGGACATTGGCTAATGGACAGCAGAATTGGCAAAGTACTGAAACATTGCAATTCAGTACAGAAGTGGAAGCTCTGCATCCGCCACGAACTCCCACGATGGAACCATCCTTCAGGCACTTTCACCATGCTAGGTGATGCGGTGCATGCGACACTGCCATATCTTGCTTCTGGGTGCGTTGACCAGCCAACAAATCAATTGATGATAGAGGATTTGTCTGTGATCTAACAAGTCTCAGTGCCGGAATGTCGCTCGAAGACGGAGCAGTACTGGGTGAATGTCTGGCGCGGATTCACAAGAAGTCAGATCTTAAATTCGCCCTCACCGTGTACGAAGCATGCCGCAAGAAGCGAACATCCCGGATTGTCGAACGGGGAAATCTGTACGTTCATATTCACCAAACTAGCAGAACCCTTATCTTCCCACCCAGTGTTTTCTCAAAATGATGTTTCATTGTGACCATGCTGACAGTTGGGACCCGCAGACAACAGTATCTCTACCATCTCCCCGACGGCCCCGAGCAGGAAGAACGGGATCGAATCATGCGCATGAATCCCACGCCACCTGGAGATCCTCTGGTCTGGCGAGACCCGGAGCTGAGTCCGTGGTTGCTGGGTTATAATCACCTGGCAGATGTAAGTTCTTTTCTATCTCCATTCCCATACCTGTTTTTGAGATCTCGATGGGACAGTCGTGCTGAAAACTTGTAGGTGGATGTACATTGGTCTGAGGAGCAAAAGGTTGCTGAACAGAGCCACCTTTGATGAAATCAGGTTTCAAGGAATCGATTGTCTGGACAGGCCCGTCCTGAGAGTAGATATATTGTCTTCATGTGATGATGAGAACGAATATTTCTCTGACCTTGACGCTGTCATGGTGCATTTAGACTTTGGTTGAGGACATTCTGGGAATTGCGTCCCAATTCTTCTGCCCTGTTATTTGGCAAGGACGAAAAAAAGTCCGTATGTTTCGTTCTCTTCGATACCTACCGCACTGTGGCCTCATTTGCTTCACATTGCAATAGGCTCGGCATGTAGTTACCGAAGCTTGTCATGACTAAGACGGTCAGGCTACCATCCTTTGAATGTGGTTGTCATGATTTCTTCACAACCAGACTGTAGCGTTCACCACAGCGTCATGGATAGAGACGCTACATCCTGCACCATTTGCAGGCCTTCGACCTGGCTTCTGAATCCCTTCCTCTGCAACATGGACAATGACGAAACCAAGGCCTATCGATCGAACATCCACGCAGTCTGGCGACTAGGGATGCTCATGACAGATACCAATGTTAATGTATTCCGAGTCCACAGCTTCAAATTTTCCCCTTGAGAGAGAGCTTCGTGTCTGGCTGTTTGTGCATATTGTGCTGTCGATCCTTGACTGGCCTCGGGTAGAGCTAGTTAACGTAATTCCCAACCGAACCGGACACCCGACCGAGCCGGACACCCCATCCAAAGTCCACGCGTTTAGGATACTGAAGCTATTCAAACAACCACCATGCCACCAAAATCGCGTCTATCGTCTCGAGACTTGGTGGAACAAGAGGGGAGGATCCAACTCGCGATCTCTGCTTTAAAAAACAACGAAATCCCAAGTGTTCGTCGTGCAGCGGAGGTTTTTAATGTGCCTAAATCTACACTTCATGACCGACTGACTGGCCACCATTT